TTGTGGTTTGGGTCATACTGTCCCCTAGTGGCCCTGGGTACCAGACACTGCCCAGGGCGCCCTCCTTGAGGCGAAGGGCCCCGGCCCAGGTCCCTCCAGCAGCCGTACTCTGCCGTTTACAGGGCACCAGGACATCATCCCTGCCCAGCCCTACACCCCCGCCTCCGCCTGCCCACCCCTCAAAGGTGGCTTTCCTCCTCCTCCTTCAGGACCTCATCCCAGACCCTGTGCCCATGCTCTGGGCCCCGCGGCCCTCCCCTGGCACTCCGGCCCCAGAGCGCCAGTCGCCAACTGGCCCGTCTCCAGAACAAGGCCCACCCACGGCTCCTGTCTGGCCCCCAGGACTGGGAGCCGGCACTGCCCGCCTGCTCAGCCCGGCCTCCCTGGGGCCCCACGCCTGCTCAATTTCCTCCTCCCCCCGTGGGGAGGGGCTGAGGGCCACATCTGGGCCCCGGGATCACCCTGCATGGCCTCACAGGGCAGGTGGCCAGCTGGGTGRACGCGAGTGGACAGGAACTCAAGCTGGGGTGGGGCGCGTGGTTCRGTGCAGAGCGCTCCCCAGCACCAGTCAAGTTCAGAGGGCACTTCCCCACCTTCCCAAGAGCGGCCGGGCTCCCTCTCACCTCCGGGGCCATCTCCTCAGCCAGCAGTGCCCTTGCCCCCAGCTCTTCCTGGCGAGCTCTCGCCTGACCTTCCAAACCTCGTTCACTCCCGCCTGGGTTCCGCCTGGGTTCCAGGAGCCCCTGGACACATTTATGATGGACGCTCTTCTYTCCAGACTGGAGAAAAGTCTGGGAAAGAGTCGGGTCAAGGTGGGGCCTGAGCTTCCCTGGGCCCCCTGCCTAAGTGCCGCGTCCCCTTGCCCTGTGGCTAGAAAGAAGTGGACCCGGGGCCAGGCCTCCTGGTCTGAATCCAGCTTCGCTTCGCCGTCTTGGCCAAGAGCCGTTTGGTCAGTTTTGTCATCTGTGAAACAGGCACAGTGGCAGGCTCCATGGGAACCCCCACCGTTATCTCCGGCAGTCCTGGGGGCCCCTCTGCGGGGTCCCTGTCCTCATGCCTCTGTCTCCCCTCTTCCCCGCAGCCTCTCCACATGGAAATGCCCCACCAGGCCAAGCTGTCCTGTCCCTGGCGCCACTACCTCTGGKGGCTGCTACTGCAGCTGCTGTTGGCTCTGAGTTTCTACTCCTACCTGCGGGTGTCACAGGACAACCCCACTGGGCCTCCTAGGGCAGGGGTCCCCTGCAGGGAACCTGTCCCCACCGCTGCCAACGGGTCAGCAGGGCTGGCCACCTGGAGCCCCCCTGCCGGCAGGTCCCTCCTGATCCTCCTGTGGACGTTGCCCTTCCACACCCCTGTGGCTCTGTCCCGCTGCTCCGAGCTGCGGCCTAGTGAGGCCGACTGCCAGCTGACCACCAACCGCAGCCAGTACCCCTGGGCAGACGCCGTCATCGTGCACCACCGGGAGGTCAGCTACTCGCCCAGCAAGCAGCTGCCGCCGTCCCCGCGGCCTCCCGGGCAGCGCTGGGTGTGGTTCAGCATGGAGTCGCCCAGCCACTGTCGCCAGCTGCAGGCCCTGGACGGGCTCTTCAACCTCACCATGTCCTACCGCAGCGACTCGGACGTCTTCACGCCCTACGGCTGGCTCGAGCCCTGGCCGGGCCCGCCGGAGCCCGCGGGGCTCAACCTCTCGGCCAAGACCGAGCTGGTGGCCTGGGTGGTGTCCAACTGGAGGGAGGACTCGGCCAGGGTGCGCTACTACCAGCAGCTGCGCGCGCACCTCCCGGTGCACGTGTTCGGGCGGTCGCACCAGCAGCTGCCCCGCGAGGCCATGGCGCGGCGCCTGGCGCAGTACAAGTTCTACCTGGCCTTCGAGAACTCGCAGCACCGCGACTACATCACCGAGAAGCTGTGGAACAACGCCCTGCGCGCCTGGGCCGTGCCGGTGGTGCTGGGCCCCAGCCGGCAGAACTACGAGCGCTTCCTGCCGCCCGACGCCTTCATCCACGTGGAGGACTTCCCCAGCCCCCAGGCCCTGGCGCAGCACCTGCGCGAGCTGGACCGCGACCCCGCGCGCTACCTGGGCTACTTCCGCTGGCGGGAGACCCTGCGGCCGGCGTCGGGCAGCTGGGCGCTGTCTTTCTGCAAAGCCTGCTGGCGGCTGCAGCAGGACTCCAGGTACCAGACGGTGCCCAGCATCGCCTCTTGGTTCACCTGACTGGCCGGCTGGGCCTCCTGCCCGGGCACCRGCTGGGACCTGGGTCTCTGGAGGCCTCCTACCTGGAACCAGGCCTGCTGGACATCTCTGCTGGCCTGGCTGGGCTCCAGGGGCCTCCCCTGCTGGGGACTTTGCTCGCCCCTGCTAGCAGCCTGGCCTGGTGGTCGACCTGGGCAGCCCAGGACCTTGCCCTCAAAAAAAAAAAAAAAAACTTGGCCCTGGGGACCGGGCTCCCTGGGGGTCCTGTCCTCTGGTGACTGGCCCGTGGGCTTGTGACATGACTGCCTGTGGGGTATGCAGAATTGTCACCATTTCCAGATAGTGATGCTTCAAGAAAGCAGACGTGTCCCCTCCTTGTTCTAGAATAGCGGCTCAGTCCAGGATGGTTCTGTCCCCACTAGGTGACACTTGTCAATGTCCAGAGATATTTTTGGTTGTCACATCTAGGGGCAGAGAGATTGTCCCTAGGCCAGAAGTACTCTGATGGCCCTGCAGTCCCAGGAGGGCTCCACACCAGGAGGCTCCAGCCCCAGATGTAGGTGGGAGAAGCTGCTCTCAACCTCTCATGGCCTCCAGTCCAGCCCAGGGCGGGGGCTTCCTGGGGGGCTCTGGCAGGGTGAGGAGGCCACGCGGCAGAGGGGTGGAGGGCCAGGCGGGGCTGGGGTGCCAGCACGGGGGTCAGGTCCCAGGAAGGCTGCATGTGTGTCCCAGGTCTCCATTCTGTCAGGCAGGGACTGCGCCTGGCTGTGACACTGACTCGGTAGGATGTCTGTGTACCTGTCCCGACCATGGGACTGTGGTTGATTCTGTGTGCCACGGTGGTCTTCTGAGCAGGGGACTGAATGGGCAGGCCTGGGAGTGTCTCCGAGTGTACCGGGAGGGTCCCCTGCTCTGTGTGCGGATGTCCCTGGGGCAAGGCTGTGCACGCGGGTGGGATCAAGGGGCTAGGGGTGTGGAGGGCCTTTGTGTGACCCCGAGTGCCGGTGGAGAGGCTGACCTGGAGGTGTGCCTCCCTGAGCGGAGCCTTCTGGGGAAATGTGATCCGTGTGTGATCCTGTCTGCAGTCCCTGGGTGGCGGTGCTCTGGTGGCTGCTGCCTGAGTGTGCGTGTGCGCGTGGCGGGCGCTCTGAGAGCCCAGCCCGGGCCTGCGGGCAGCTCTGTTTAGTTTCCAGTTCCCGGGTGGGTGGCACCAGAGACCTGTGGTGGGAGGCTGGGTGCCTGTGGCCGGGGAGGGTGCGGGTGTGCCTGCACACACACATGCACACCAAGGCAGGCAGCCTCGGGGACCTGGCCCGGGCCTCGGAGCCCGTCCTCCCCCTGGCCCCGGGCCAACAGCTTCCCTCTCTGAGTCTCAGGTCTCTGGGGCAGCCAGGGGGAAACTGAGGCCCTGCGCAAGCACCACGTGGGTTTCTGCAGCATCTGGGGACCCCAGCCTCTCTGCCCCGGCTGGGCTGAGTCAGCCGGAATAGAGCAGGAATCCACCACCCCAGACCTCAGCCAGAGACTGTGGGGGCGGGTGGGGACCCCAGCCAGCCATGGCTCTGAAACGGCCTTCCAAGCAGACCACCCACAGGTTGGGGCCTGGCCCGCTCTGAGGGTTCCTGGAAGTCCTCTTGGTAGCTACCTGGAGTATCTTCCTTCAGCTGCAGCTGAGGGGCATGGAGACTGAGGAGCTGGGTGGCTCTCCCTGGCTGCAGCTTCTGATGGTGTCCTCTAGCCTTGTGCCAGGGAATGTGTCTGGGAAGGAGGCAGGGATTCCAGGTGGTCCTGAGCTCAGAGGTGTGGGAAAGAGGGGAGGAGACCCAGTCTCGAGGAAGGGCTGTGCCTTTGGGCTCCCCATCTGGGGCATGTGTCCTTAGGAGACCGGATCAGCAAGAGGCTGTCTTGGAAAAGGGACACTGCACCCTCCAGAACCCACTCCCCATCTGAGGGGAAGGAAAGGAGGATTAGCCCCACCCCCGCAGCCTGGGTCCCAGGGCCCTCCCCACCACCAGACCCTGGGACCCACAGACTCTGGGAACACAACACCCCCGCGCTGTCTGGGCCTGCCAAGCATCAAGGTGACACCGCGGCAAATCCAAACACCACGCAGAGCTTTTTCCATCCTCCGCCGGGGCTCATCGTAAATCCCCCTTCGAGGCCAGTCCAAGGCTTTTATGGACCCAGGACCCAGGTCCCTGGGGACACAGCTCTGCCCCAGCAGGCGCCGGCTTAGGTCTGGATGGGGCTGGCGTCGCCCTGGACCTGTGGATATTTTTAGCTGGTGGAAGGAGATAGTGGCTTGAGTTCGTGCTGGTGGGGGCGGACCAGACCCAGGAGGCCCTCTAGGCGAGGAAGGTCGGGTACACACCTAGACCTCACTCTTCACCCACACGGTGGCTCCACCTTCCTCTATCAACCCCAAAGCCCCCTCTGTCACCTCAAAAGCATACACTGCGGGGAGGTGCAGATGGGGACAGGTGGAGGTGGGGACAGGCGGAGGGGGGCAAAGGGACCTGCAGGGAGACGGGAAAAGCGGTCCCTGTGACCTCACACCACTCACCTACTTTCTTTTTTGCTCCCTTCTGTGTGTCAACTTTTCTCCCCCAAAGCAAACGGGAGCCTCCCTCCACCCTGCAGGTGGAACCCCTACTTGCTCCCCTTCTCTGGATGGAGACGGTTCCCCTCCCCACACAACCTCATCCCTTCTTAGTGAAGAGCCAGGCACCATTTCCCACACTTTATCTCAACTCAGTTATCGCGAGAGTCTGTGGGCTCGACGGCATCGTCCCAACCTCCGAGCAGAGCACGTGCAGTCTGTTTCCCTGCGGGCCGCTGGGTGCCGTCGGGGAGGGAGGGCTTGGGCGCCCATTCGCCGGCCAGATGAGGTAGGGTCACACGCAGGCGCACTCGCGCGCCGACAGCTCGCGCACCGTGTGGTAGCGGCTGTGCACGTCCAGGAAAGACACCTCGTCCTCGTAGGCCGTCGGGCGGCAGCAGGGCTGGGCGCGCACCCGCTCCCTCCGCACCCGCCTCTGCTGGCGCAGGCGCCTCAGTCCCAGGTCGTAGACGCGCGCAGCCGCCTCGCACGCGCCTGCGCAGTAGCGGAACAGCACCGTCTCGTCCGACGCGTAGCCCAGGCCCAGCTCGCTCACGCGCACCTCGAGCTCGCGCAGCCCGCATGGTCGCGTTCCCGGTCGCGCACGCGCACGTCGCCGCCGGGGCCCTGCACGACGGCGCGGACCCGGGGCCCGGCCGGCCCAGGGCGTCAGCTCGCGCAGCTCCACCGCGTCCGGGGCTCCCTGCAGCAGCGCACGGTCTGTAAGGGGAGAGAGGACGGAGAGGTCAGCGGGTGGGCGCCCCTTCCCCCGCTGTTCCCCGCACAGAGGACCCTTCCCCTCACTCCCACATCCCGATTCTCCCGCCCTTGCTGCTGCCCGCGCGCCCATCGCTGGGCTGCACTGGGGCAGGTGCACACTCAGACCCAGCACCCCTGCCTCTGTGACAGGCTGCTCAGAACCAGCCTCACCCTTCCTGGGTGTCCAGGGCCACCTTCTCCCCCACTCCCGTTGAGTTGAGCTGATTGGGGCTCCCCCCCACCACCATTGCTGCCCATCTCCCTTTGATCCATCTGCTCGCCTAATTCAATCTGACCCCCATCCACACTGCACTGCTCGGGTGTCTTTTTCCACTTTGCAGAAAAGAATTCCCTGGGGCTGTTTGTGACCCATGTCCCCGTGGGGCCCCCAGCTGTTCTCCACCCGTGTGCTGGGCTGCCCAAGGGCACTGGCACACCCTCTCCAGCCAGTGTTGAGGGGCTGCTTCCCAATCCCCTATCCTCACCCCTTAGCTGCGCTGAGTAGGTAAAACTGTCTCTGGGCCCCACCCAGAGCCTCTTCCCCTCTGAGCCTGGGCTGTCTGCCTCCCCGTGCTGCTGCGCTGTGCAACGGGTCTCAGTGTCCCTGCCTAAGAAACCACAGTATTTGGGCTTCTCAGAACACAGGGGAGCAGCAGGTACTGCGCCTACTGCCCGGGTACCCTGTCCTGTGGGATGGCAGCAGTTACCGTCAGCTCCACCCTCTTATTACAGGGGAGGAAATGAGCATCAGAGAGGTAGAGCTGTGCCCAAGGTCATCCACTTAGCAGGTGGTGGTGGGGGGAGGCAAAGGACATTCTCTCTGCTTCCATCAGTTGCCCAGCCCAAGTTTGGCCCAATCCCAGCCCTCTTCTCCCACAGTCTCCAGGAGGTGCCTGAGTCACAAATTCCCAGGACCCTGAAGCCTAAATTTATTACCCAAGTGACTGGCCCTGCCCCAACACCCTGCATCCCCAGGAGAGCAGTGCAGATGCTGGGACGGATGGCAGGGGCGGGGGAGGTGGGACTGTAGGCAGGGGCCTCCCTACCCCAGAGCAGGTGGCAGTCACAATGACGGTTGGAAGGGAATTCCGACTTTAGTCCTGCCCCAAGGCTGCTGCACCTGGCTGGCAAAAGAATGAGCTTTCCAGGAGGGTCTAGGAGGAGGGGCTGGCTGCCGCGCTGGGGTGTCTGTTCCCAGCCAGGACCTTGGAAACCAGACGAACCTGGGCTCAGACACTCGCTACTGAAGCTCCAGGCAGGCGGTGGCCCTGGTTTCCCTGTCTACTCAAAGAATCTTGCATTGTCCCTGTCCTGGCAGGGACTGAAAGGTGGGAACAGAGGGAGCCCTGAGCTGCACAGTCCCAGCTGTTTAATCGCAGGGTGGGGACAGGGTGCATAAGGCTTTCCGTGGGGCTAGGAGCRAGCCCAACCGGAGCCTAGAACCCCACCAGTATTGTCTCCACCCCAGAAGTATGTCTATGGGCAGTTACTCATGGGGTTCACAGATAAAATACTGATGCACAGTTGAACCTGAATCACTAATAAATAATCGACAAACAGTCTTTTAGTGTTTGTTCCTGCCTCCCTCCAGCAGGGCTGGCCACTTGCACGGAGAGGAGATGCCCCATCCAGCTCCCCGAGCTTGAAACCCCACCGTCTGTGCATCAGCTCAGGGCCTAGAGCGCTGTGGCTTTGGGGGATCAATGCCTCTCCCTGGGACCGGATGCAGGGCAGGCAGGCACCTGCCCATGGAACCGGGACCCTCCCTGGGGCTGAAATTCCACCAGGCGTGCTTCGCCCCAGGTCTGCAGCCCTGGCTTTGGGGGGCCCCGCCCGGGTCTCAGGGACCCAGTGTCCTAGAAGACTTCTCAGCTCGCAGGGGTGGAGTGGAGCTCATGCCGGGGGCTGCCCTTGTCCATTGTGAGGACAAGAAAGGAGGATTGTGTGGGTTGACAAGGGCGGGCGCAGACTTGCCCTCACCAGCTCTCGCAGGCACCACGCACGCGTCCTACAGCCCAGCCAGCCACCCACGCAGGCACACGCGTGGGCATGTGCGCTGTACACAAGGGAGGGCCCTCGCACAGTCCTCGTAGCTTGGGGCACCAGGGACAGTTGGGGGAGCTCCAAGCCTCCACAGTGCCCCTCCGCTGTCCCGCGCCTTGCGCAGGCCTCCTGCCCCTGGTGTCTCTGTGGCTTCTCACCAGGCAGGTCACTGGGGCTTTGGATCCAGCCTCCCTCTCCCGATCCCCTGCTGCGCTGTGGGGGCCGCCTGGGCCGAATGCCTAGGTCTAATCTCCATCTGGCCCCCACAGTCCCTCAGGGCCAGAGCCTAATTCCTTGTGACAGCTAAGTCCAAGGACCCCGGTTCCCAGCAGCCATCTTTCCCCACAGGCCAGGCCCAGGCCCAGGGTGGTTGGGGGGCACTTGTACCTCCTTCACCTCCATCTTGAAACACAAAACTCCGTGACCCCCTCCAGCTCCACTGCCTGCAGTGCCACCGGATGGCCACCCCACATGGGGGATCCGAGCCAAAGGGTCGGGGCTTACACTGGGCCAGGCGGGCGATCCGGGCGTCCAGGGTGCGAGGCGGGCGGCGCAGCGGGGCCAGCGCGGGTCCCAGGTGGTGGCTGAGCAGCAGGCCTTCCCGACACATCCAGATGGATAGCACGGAGCTGCAGAACACCGAGGCCAGGGCCGCCGCCTTCCAGCGCTGCATCCTCGGCCTGTGGGCACGGGATGGTCAGCCGCCTGCCCTGAGCAGCAGTGGGCCAGGCACCCTGAACAGTGGGGCCCCTGACTTGGAACACTTCATGCTGAACGTAACTTCGCCATGGCTCATGAAAGAGCCAGTGCACAAGGCTGTGCAGAAGGCTGCCTGAGGCCAGGTGGGCTTCGTGCCAGGTGCAACGAACTCCAGTCCCAGAGTGTTTTCCTGAGTAGCTGATGGTAGGTGACACCAGGAGCTTACAGCAGGAGCTGGCCTAGGGGCTGAGAATGATGCGTGGTGGGGCAAAGGCCCTGAGGCTGCACAGAGCTTGGTGTATTGACTGCAGCCAGGAAAGGAGGAGGGTGAGAGCATTCCTGAAGGTGGCACTGTGGGACAAAGGTGGGGAGGGCAGCTGGAGCTTATGACAGAGTGCAGGCAGGAACCCAGGTTGAGGCCATTCCCCCACATATTTATGTCCCCGGGCGAGACTCCCTGCTCCTTCCTGAGCCTGTTTTCCCTCCAGGCAGATTGAACTGAGTCGCAGACCGGGCAGCCAAGGACCAGCAGCACAGCCGAGCAGCACGGCCCGGCCTCCAGGCTCCGCTGGGGAAGTCTCCCTGCTCTCCTTCCCCTCGGGCAGGGTGGACTGCGCCTCCCCCAGCAAGCCTCCCCTGACATCTGCAGCCACCGCAGGGGTGCCTGTTGGGTCCCCACAGTTCCCTGAGCTGCCTCCACGAGGGCACTGGTTGCTGGAGCTGTGGCTCCTGCGTGCAGCGAGTGCTCAGCGTCCCGCGCACCCCCACCCCGGCTGGGCGCTCCCCGACCCAGGGCGGCCCGGCCGCGTTTACATTCCCGCCCGGCAGCCTGGTGTCGTCGCGGCGCGGAGCCTGGCGGCCGGCCCGGTGTAAACATTTACACGAGCCCGGACGCCGGGTCAGCTCCCGGCCGCTCGGCGGGGTTCGGGTCCCCGGGCGCCCCCACGCGCGCACCGCGAGCCTCGCAGGCCGCCCCAGCGCGCGGGCATTTAGCTGCTCGCGATTTGYGTTCATTTGCATGTGATTTGCATGAGCCGGGCCCTGGAATGGTTCCCCCTCCTCCTGGCATCCCACCAGCGCCTGGATGCACATGGCTGCACCACCAAACAGTACGCAAGAGGGGACTTTCATTAAGCTCCAGTTGTATACCAGGCCTGATGCCAAGCCCCCAGAAAGGCACTTGGGTCTCCCATTTTGCAGCTGGGAAAACTGAGGCGCAAATGGGGACTTGCCGCTGTCAGTGGTATGGCTTTTCTCCTTCCTCTCTTGGTGCGGGGGAGGGAACCCACCGTGTCGGGTTTGCCAGGCAGGCCCTCTACCACGGCCCACACCCCAGCCCTGCGCAGCCATCTCTGGGGGGTGGTGTTGGTGGGAGTGAGCTCTCTGGTACCGGGAGTGTAAACAAGTCCTGGGCCAGTCTGGGGGTCTGATAAGAGTCACCCTGGAGGGCGCTCCTGGCACATCAACGAATGGGAGCCGGGCCTAGGGTGGCTGGGATCCTAGTCCAGGGTCCAGGGTTCTGTCCGCCACTCTAGTCCAGCACCAGCCCCTGGCGGAAGGCCACTGCCGCCTGCAAAGCTCTGCTGTCTGTCTCCTGTTGGCCTGGCCTGCAGGGTCAGTCCACAGGGGTGTCCACCCACTCACCTAAGGCAAAGCTGGCACCTGTGGTGCCCAGGCCCTGAAGACTCTGTGGGACCAAGACAGACAACATGCAGAGAAACATGGTGGCCGGGGCGAGCCAGCGTGCTGAGGACAGAAAGGAAAGCCAGGTGACAGAGGGAAGGGAGCGAGGAGGGCAGCGTGGCCTTGCCCGCCCAGACCCCTGCTCACCCCTGGTGAGCACCTGCTTTGGGCATCACCCCTTCTACACACGTCCCACAAATTAAATCGTTTTATCTGACAAGAGCCCTAAGAAGCAGGTGACACCCTTGTCCCCATTTTACAGATGGGGAACTGAGCCCAGAGGCCATGCGACTCGCCCAAGGTCACAGCTAGGATCTGAGAGCTGGAGGCCTGACCACCAGGAAGGGAGACAGGCGGGAAGCCTCAGGACCGAGCCCTCCCAGCCGCCAGCCCCTGCTAGCCCCAAGGCCACRTCTGGGAGTGGCGCACCTCAGTTTCCCACGAGGTGTGAACACCCAGGCTCTGGGCTGTGTGTGCAAAGGACTGAGACTGAATCCAGTTGGCCACAGGGGCCTCTGGTGGCCTTGGAGCTGCAGACCCCCACCCAAGCTCCGGTGGGGGCAGGGAAGCAGGACCGCTGTGGAGGGGCCCCGCAGGCGCGGCCGATAAGCACCTTAACAATGGGCCCTTCTGTCTGGGGGTCACCCAACTGGTTTGTCTCTGGCACAGGCCCGACAGGAGGGGGTGCGGCAGGTGTGGCAGCGGGCAGCGGAGGGGACCAGGTGTGCACCCGTGAGCCTGTGTCACACACGCCCAGCCCTCTGCTCCCGCACGTGCCCCATGGCTCCCCACACGAGCACTTCACGCACATGCGGGAGCTCACCACGCCCTGCACACAGCTCCACGCCCAGACGCTCCCCACAGAGGCACCGGTGCCCCTCGCTCACACTCCAGATCTGCCACACCCACACACAGGTGTGCTTCCCTCCCACACTCAAACCCCACTGCGAGCAGGCTGAGTGGTCCCCAGCTCAGTGCGCTCCTGGGCAGCCCCAAACACCACGTTGTGCTCACGCCTGCGCGGGCCCCAGCCACAGCCCCTACTCACTCCTGCACCAAGGGGTGTCTGCCACCCTGGTGCCCTGGCCTGGGCTGGGCCTGCCAGGCGAGTCCCGGCTCTGAGTCCTGGCCGCCTGCTCACATGCAGGAGTGCACAGCTGGGCTGCCCAGGGCCACGGGCGCGGCTGCTGGGCCTGGACACGGGCCTGGCCAGCAGTCTCTCCTGTCCTGGGGGCGCGTCCACAGCCTGAGAGCTCTTGCTGACGAGGAGGGGTGCATCCTCCATTGGGACCCTGAGGGCCCAAACTGCGGCAAGGCCACTACTTCTGGCTGGAGGCCCTGACCCTCCGTCCAGGGCAGGGGAGAAAGAGGCCGGAGGGGAGGCAGCAGGGCAGGCCCAGCCGGGAGGAGCGGGCAAGGGTGTGCGGGGTCCCTGGTGGGCAGTGTCCTCTGTGCAGGCGGTGTTCCTCCCCACCCTCCTGCCACGCTCCCCAGGGGACATCCGCCAGGCACAGCCAGTCCTGGGGTCCAGCCTCTGTCTGGCCCCATGGCTGCCCCCAGGGAGACAGGAAGGAGGGAGGGGCGGGTGGGCAAGGGGCTGTCCGCGTCTGGCAAGCTCCTACTCATCCTTCAAAGTCCTGTAGCCCCTCCCCACCAAGACGCCTCCGCCGCACCTGGCCGCTCCCAGCCCCAGGCCTCCCGYGTCCCCAGCCCCAGCCCCATCCACGCTGGCGAGGATTTCAGGAGGGTCCTCCGGGGGTCCTCTGGCGGTGAGGGGCAGGCTTTGAGAGTGGGGCCTGTGGAGGCTGGAAGGCGGGCCCTGGATCACAGCAGTGCCCTCTCCCTCTGCCCATGCCCCGTCCCCTCAGTAAGAGCCAGGGAGTGCCCCGGGGCGGACCTGGCTGGGGGCTCCTGGGGATGCCGCTGCCAGGGCCGGTCAGGCGGGGGTCGCGTGGGCTGGCGCAGGAGGAAGGCGTGGCTGGGCCAGGGGCCAGGTGCTGTCCCACGGAGAGGCGGTCTCCCACTTGAAGGGCCCCTTCAGTGAGGTCCTGCAGGCTCGGTGGTGGCAGCCCAGGGCAGGGGCCTGGGGCCCACGTGCCTCACCTTGCCTCCTGGTCAGTGCTGGCACTGGGGGGGCGCTGGCTGACACCTAGGGCGGCCCGGCCGCCCCTTCGCCCAGTGGCCTGGGGGGTTCCCTGGGGTCCCGCTGGTGGGAAACTGAGGGGCAGGACTGGCCAGCGGTTGGGGCCTCTCTCAAGGAGGACGCCATGGCTTTCAAACAAGAAACAAATTCCACAGCCCACAAAAATGTGCCCCCTCCYTCGGGGGCCAGGGCCCAGCCCCACCCCGCGAGAGGACGAGACGGGGCAGTGATGCACATCTGGGGGCAAACCAGGAACATCTGGAGAGCCCAGCTGGTTCGAATGCAGCATCCGCAGGCGGGGGCGGCGGCTGGTGTTGGGGGGGTGGACTCGGCCCCCACCCACTCCCCTCGCCTCTCCCAAATAGAGTACGTGCTGCTCCACTGCTAGAGCCATCGTGGGCTCCCTGCTGCCCTGAGCATCAAGGCCGCTGGTCGTCCTCGGGGGCTCTGGGTCTGTCCATGCCACAGTAAAGCAGAGGGATGCAAACAGGGACACTGGCCTACGGGGAGGCCAGTGACAGCCGCTTTGTGATCATCGTAGCAGGACATAAAGCTACACCGGTGCTGTCCCCAGTGTTCAGGGCAGCAACGACAGCAGGTGTGCCATTTCACCCCACGTGGCCGGTGGAAAACCCAGGTCCGGGAAGCCAGTGGCCTGGCTCTGGGCCAAGCAGCACAGGGCTCAGCTGGGAGGGCGCGGGGGCAGGCGAATCCTACGCACCCCTCAGAGCCCTGGCTGTCCACCCCCTCCTCACACTCTGAGCCCCGGGCCATGTGGCCTCACAGCCGTGAGCTCAGCAGCCACTCGACCTCTGTTGGCTGGGGCCAGGTGCCGTGCGGAGTGCTCTCTGCTGCTGATCCCCTCACGGCCTGCAGAGGCTCCAAACCTTTCCCACAGTCAGGGGTCACAGAGCAAACAGGAGTCCACCAGGGTTCGCCTCCAGGGAGTCCACTCTGCTGGGAGCCCGCCCAGCTTGGGAGAGGGGTGAGGAGTGGGGACGGGGGGCAGGCCCTAAGTGCAGAGCCCAGAATAGGGACAGGTTTCCTCAGAGACACACAGCAGGTCCCGGCAAAGAAAGGACCAACATGCCAGCAGAGGTTCTGCTCCTGACACACCGCAACCCAGCAAACACTTATTCAGCGCCTACTGTATGCCAGGGACACCCTGGGCCCGGCTGCC